GGGGCGGTCGCGGCCACGAGCCCATCCTGGGGGTGGTGTGGGGGCCGCCGGACGGTGCGGACTGGAGGCACCCGCCGTCGTGGACGGGCTCTGCGGGCTGGCCTGTGGTGCAGGAGGAGGGGCTAGGGCCCCGCAAGCAGCACCAGGAGAAGGGGGGAGCCAGCCCCGCAGTGCAGGAGCGGGGAGAGGCCCGCGCCGGGGTGCAGGAGCGGGGGGAGGGGAGCCCACGCAGGCTGCTGCAGCAGCCCGAGCAACTGTCTGAGTTCGGAGACCGCTCCTGGGAGCGCAGAGAGGAGCCCGAAAGTTCTGGGGAGCAGTACTGGGAGAGCTGCGGGCACCTCAGACGGGAGGCGGTGGTTCTGGGAGAGGCCCCGGCACGTCGCAAGAGACTCGAGGTAGTGGGGAGGGCCCGGCCAGTGGGGCCCCGGGGGCCTGAGGGGGAGGGGCGCCTAGGGGTGCAGGAAGCGAATTGGCTGCCTGGGGTGCAGGAAGGACAGGTTGTGCGCGCTGTCCAGGAAACATACCTGGACGGGAAGGGGTCTCCGGAGGGAGAGGGGCCCCCTGAGGGACACAGGATCCGGAGGCGCAGGCGGAGGAGGAGGTGGTAACCCCCAGGTCGGCTGCTCAGTATCAGGATCAGGGCAGGGCCGAGGTGAAAGCAGGATGTAGGGGTTTGGGGAGTGGGGAGCAGAAGAGCGTCGTGAACCTGGGAGCTTTGGAAACCACTGTCCGAAAGCAAGCGTCTTGCTGGATCCTTTTTTGCAACCTGAGCCGGAACATCGAAAGCTGTGTCTGCAGAGAGGCAGCAGAAGGCCTCAGGTAAGGAAGCCAGTCCTGTTCTCAGCAGAAATTGGTGTGTTTGGAAGGAGGGGGCTGCAGTTATCTCAGGAGAGTGTAGTCTTCAAACTGCCCTTGTTCATTCCCTGTGTTTAAACCTGGAGAAGGAGGAAGCAGTGCAGTTTTCAGCAGCAATGCAGGACCCCTCCCCCCAGTACTGTTTGTGCCAACTGGAGTGATGGGACATTTCCTTAGAGTCTAGACTGGTGGTGAGACTGGGTGGCTGCCAGGCCTGGGCAGAAGGAAGGGGGGGAACCCCAGGCTGAGGTTGATGAGGAGGTAGTCACCCCTCTACCCGTCTACTGGTGGAGATAGAGGTGCCTCTGTGCCATAGCTGGGATGGTGAAATCAGCACAGGCTGCCTCACGTCCTCAAAATACATTCCAAAAAAGGGAAGGGGCAGCATTACATTAAGAGGACCTTATCTTTCAACCCTGTTGGCCACGTGAGCTGAGATGCAAGTGTGGCAGCCAGTGACTTGGGCACGAGCCTGACCCGTGCCTGACACACCTTCTTGTCACATTTGATTAATCCTGAGGGCCCAGAGCCAAGGATGAATAGTGGGCAGAAGAGCAGAGAGCTACTGGTGAGGACTTCTGCCTCCATGTGGGCTTTTAACGACCCAAACCTGAAAGTGTGGGAGAGGAAGGGTTATCTGCACTGCTGGACTATGGGTATCCTCTGTGGTCCAGACCTCAGCCCCACCCCGTGGAGGTGGACAGATGGGCAGCTGTGGCATCATGAGTTTTGTACCAGTCAGGGCCAGCTCCCAGCCCAGCTTAGAGTTGGGGCTTTGCAGGGATGGGGGCTAAATTTGGCCTCCTGTTGACTCCTTCGTGGCCTGGGTGCCAGGCCTTTTCATTCCTGGCCCCAAGGAGCTTGACTGGCCACTTGTGGGCCTCATCCTCCTAGGGCTGTTCACCTCTTACCTGGCACTGTCTTGAGTTCTTGTTTCTCTAGCCCTCAGGTGGGGGTGGGTGCCTTAGCTGAGACCCATCTCTGCCCAGCCCAAGGGAGTAGCTCTGATTCAGATGGCCCCCAGACTCCTGTCCCAACCGGACTGGGTGGAGATAGTCCTTTCCTGTCGGGGCAGGGGGAGTGGTGGTGGCCTCCTAGGCAGGCAGCTGCTGGAATTGTGCTGGAGAAGCCGGTTAGCCTGGTCCTCATGCAAACCTAAACTTGACTGTCAGCTTCTTCATCCCACGCCTACCTGTCGTCCTGCCACCCCACTCATGCACCGGAAGTTCAGCTGCTATATCCATGGCATCTGCTTCTGGGATGGCCAGACTGGTTCTGGCTCTCTGGCTTCAATAGAGAGAATTGTCTGTTCTAAACACATACACCCAAGCACACATCTTCACCCTGTTTCAGGTTGACTCTTGAATCTGTGGTAGACGAAGAAAGGGAGAAGGACTTTGGCAGATCTAGGTTACCAGCTGTGAACCTCTTGAGGCAGAATAACGTCTCCGGGCTTCAGTTTCCTTGTCTGTGTGGTGGGGCATGTTTTTCCCCACTCAGTGTCCTGAGTGCAGAGGGCCCGGACCCTTCTTTGTCGATCTGGTGCCCACCATCCCAGGAGCTGTGATGGTAGGGAGGAGGGGTCAGTGCTCCAAGATCATTTCCTCTGGCCTCTAAGCTGACGATTACCCCCTGCCTTGTGCTTTATTCTGGAAGCTGAAGTGCCTTTTTGTTTTTAAGAACAGCTTTATTAAAGTATAATGACATATGGTAAATGAAACCTATTTAAAACATAATTTAACAAGTTTTAACATATGCATATACCTGTGAAACAGGATCAGTCAAGGTAATGAACATACCCATTATTCCCAACCCCCTCAAAGTTTTTTGTGCCTGTTTGTAATCCCTCCTTCCCACGCCTCCTTTGCCATCACCCTTCCCCAGGTAACAATGATCTGCTCTCTGTCACTGACATCAATTCACATCACCTAGAATTTATTTAAGTCGAATCATACAGTATGTGCTCTTTTTTTGCCTGGCTTTTTTCATTCAGCATAATTATTTTGATAGTCATCCATGTTGTCATGTGTATCAATTGCTCATTTCTTTTTATTGCTGAAAAGTATTCCATTGTATGTATATACCACAGTCTGTGTATCCATTCACCTCCTGACAGGTTTTTCTCAGTTTTTGCTTATTACAGGTAAAAGTACTATGAACATTTGCATAAGTCTTAATATGGACATATGTTTTTATTTCTCTTGGGTAAATCCTTAGGACTGAAATAGTTGGATCGTATGGTGGGTGTACATTTAACTTTTAACAAACTGCCAGGCTCTTTTCCAAAGGGTTGTACCGTGTAACATACCCACCAGCTGTGTAGGAAAGTTCTAGTTTGTTCACTACTTTGTCAACACTTGGTATGATCAGTCTCATTAAATTGAGGCATTCTAATAGGTCTGTAATGATATCTCATGTTGGTTTTGATTTGCATTTCTTTAATGACTGATGTTATTGAGCATCTTTTCCTGTGCTTTTTTTTGCCATCTGTGTATCTTTGGTGATGTGTCTATTCAACTTGTTTACCCATTTTATAGTTGTGTGAAGTTTTTGGGGTTTTTTTCCATACTAAGTTTTGAGAGTTTTTATATACTCTGGACACAAGCCCTTTATGGGATATTTGATTTGTAGATATTTTATTCCAGGCTCTGGCTTGCATTTTAATTTTTTAACAGTGTCTTTTTAAGAGCAGAAGTTTTATTTTATTTTTTTATTTTTCTTTTCTTTTCTTTTATTGAGTTATAGTCAGTTTACAATGTTGTGTCAATTTCCAGTGTAGAGCACAATTTTTCAGTCATACATGAATATACATATATTCATTTTCACATTCTTTTTCACTGTGAGCTACCACAAGATCTTGTATATATTTCCCTGTGCTATATGGTATAAACTTGTTTATCTATTCTATATGTACCTGTCAGTATCTATAAATTTTGAACTC